TGAACTCTAGGACTACTTTGTGAGAATTGAGATTGTAAGTTGACAATAGGTGTAGAGCCTTGTGGACTTAGTCCAGTGGCATTCGGGTAAAGATGTACGTACATGGAATCTGGGATCTGATCCGTAGGATTGGAGGTTCCACCCAACCGGCGCCGTAGGTACCGGGTTGACCAGAATCATGGTCGTAGGTAGTGGTTCTGAGGTCATAGAGTAGACTTTGAGTCATGGCCGTAGGTAGTGGCTCTAAGTCCTAAGATTAGAATGTGGATAATGAGGAATTGGCCTTAGCCTAGAATAGGTTATGAGCTAGTGTTGGGTATGAGTTAATGTAATGACTTGAATATTGTGATAGTGACATTTGCAGGTGCAGGGTAAGTAACATATTGTGTGAATTGTTGATATTGTTATGTGATATTATTATGTTGTACTTATGTGCATGATATTGTATGGAATTATGAGCTAGTGGGTTCGTCTATGTGCGTAGTCGAAACGTTAGATAGATTCCACTCAGCTTCAATGCTGAGCGTGTAGCCCTTTTTCATATTTGCTACACGTAGGTAACAAGAACGATGAATAATGAGACGGTCTTGGAGGCAGCAAGGGCGAAGAGATGGATGGATGCTAGTTGGAGGAGTTATCTAATTTAATATTTATGTTTGAATTATTATATTCTTAAGGGCAAGAACCCAAAGTTGTATTTTGATTAAGTACTTAAAGGCGTCCGCACCGTTTTGTTAACTCTGATGGATGTTTAAATATTGTTTTGAATTAAATATTTTTATATTGTTTTGAAAATTATTGTGTCTGAATGTCAATTTAGTGACAACCCGATCCGCTGGTCCTTGTATTCGGGTCACGCGGGTTCGGGTGTTATATGATGAATATTCATTGTTTTTAAAACACAAATTTTGAAAAGTTGTTTTCTCTTTCTTTTGTTGAGTGTCATGATTATGACATGTTCTCTTACGAGAAAAGATATACGCGGATAATAGATGTAACGTGTTTGAATTTCTTTCATGGAGACTTTCGTCGAATATACTCTTAGATTTTTTTTAATCATTCTCAGATGACTTTGTCTGGAATGTTGGTTTCATGAATTACGTTTCGTAGTGTACAAGCTAGAACGAATTGTTTCTAGGTTTGACGTTTTTTTTTTACATAATGTATTTTGGGAAATGACTATTACCATAGTCATCATTCTATGTTTCTTAGATGAATACGTTATTATAGTTTCAGAACTTGAACTCTCATTAGCGATTCTTAATTGAGTTGTTCTGACTAACATAACGTCAATAAGCTGAAAAATGTTATCACATTGTAATGACAGGATGAACTTTGTGATAACATTTTTCATTTTGTCACTGTTTATATTATCAAGATGATGATATGTAATCATTCTTGAATACTGATTTTCTGATTGATGATTCCAGAACTACCTTGTAATTTCAGACTTTCTCAATAATTATGATAGAACTTCAAGCTCAAAAATTATAGTATTAGTGTATTCGTCATATCACTAATATTCTACTTCACACAACAGTTATGTTATTTATTACCAAAAACATGATAAGTTATACACGTAGTCGTATTCTAATACGTTTGTGATTCTACTAATACATGCGTGGTTTTTGAAGATCGGTATCATAAAATATCTTTTTGGTTTGATGAGTTAAAACAAGTTCTCAATGATTTGATATAAAAAAAATATGAAATTCAATCTTTTCAAGTTTGATCAAGTGAGATGCTTTAAGTGTGTAATTAACACAGTAAGTTTTAGTATTTCAAAGATATAAGTCACAAGATACGAATATAGCGTTTGCGAATTATCGTGGCAAATAGTAGGTTTTCATCCTTTAATGTTTCACTCTTTTGAAGTTACTCAAGGGGTCATTGTCTTAGGTAAATAGTCATTTTGACTTTTCGTCTCAGATTTGGATGTATTTCAAGACAATGACCCTAACTATTCTTGAGTCTCAATATGTCATGTCGTCAGCAGAATGTAGTATTGGCTAGTACGTTCTTGTCTGGAGCAAATCCACTTTCCTATACGTTTTTAGGCTGGTGATAATTACTTTTCCATAAATGGTCCAGTTTCAGAGTCTATATATATCGAATCGTGGCAAGAGCGTCTCACATTCTCACATTATGGAAGGAACTTCTTGAGCTCTTCCTAATACCATAAGATTCGTTGGTCTACTTGGTAGTCATGCTCTTGGTAGCAATCCAAGGTTCATGGCTACAGCGGTTCATCTAGAACGTGAATTGGTAAGGCGAAAAATCAGGCTTACCTACGGAGGAGGCAACGTTGGCCTTCAAGGAGCTGTAGCTTCAACAGTCTATAACAATGGTGGTAGAGTCAGAGGTTTCATACCTGGGTATATAGCAACACGAAGGGTCTATTGACCAACATATGGTGCGGAATACACTGTCTCCAGCAATTACTATAAGTATTTCGAGATGAATCATATTGTGGAAGCCTTCATTGTACTACCTGGAGGTATTGACACTATGGAGGGTTTATTCACTTTGATCTCATGGGCATCCGAAGGGTTACACAGTAAACCCATTGGTCTTTTGAACATTGGTGGTTAATTCAATAACCTAATCGTTTCAAATTTTCCTCACTCGTGTGCGCCCAAGGAATTTTCCAGGGGGTCACCTATCCTAAAATTGCTCCAGGTCAAGCACGCTTAACCTTGGAATTTCTAGGTGATGAGCTCTCGAAAAGAAGATGCACCTTGTTGGTATGATCAGTATTGTTACCTGCGGTCGACCGTCACGGTGTTCCGCCAGCCTGACGAGATGAAGATCAAGGTCGACCGTCGCGTCAAACGGTCGACCGTTCCGAACCATGTAGCGTAATTAAATGATATTTTTATCAGATTTCACTCAAATAAATTGATGTATATTTATCCATTCATATTGTTTGCAAATTGTTCATATCATATGACTCATATCATCACACATATTGTAGCATATCATATCATATGCATGCGTAAGAGATCAGGCCTAGTGCGTCTCTTATAGCTGTGATTGTGCGGGACTTAGTAGTCCGACATCACCAACCGGGCTTAGTGTACATACATGGTACTTAGGTTTTCGAGTACCACCCCTATTTCTGCGTGAGTTCGTCGTACCAAATGGGCGAATCTCATAGCTCAAGGCTCGTCCTTGCGACTTAGAATCATACAGCATGAAGTCATCATCAAGTAAAATCATCATGACTATGTGTGACATCAATTACGCATCATGTTATCATCATCAAGTACATTGATTACATAGGTGTCATGTAATCATCATCAAGAACAAGTATATTGATTACATAAGTATCATGCAATCATCCTCACAAGCAATTTGATTAAATGTGCCATCATGTAATTATCATTAAATATTTATCATCATGAATCATCAAATTGACCATATGATATATTGTGCCATATCATGAATATTATTATACATTGTGGACGTATATATATGTATATGTATGCGTCTGTGAATCATTCTACAATTCTAGCATGGTACCACTCAGCGGTTTCGCTGAGCGTGTAGTTTGTATTTTTCGTTGACTACACGTAGGTAACAAGAAGACAAAGATGGAACCATTCCTGGAGGGCATTGAGTCAGAGGTGATTCAAGGATGGCAGGCAAATGTTTGATCATCAGATTTTAAAATGTGTCATGATTTGATTATTATTGTACTTCCGCATTACTCTGAAAATATTTTTAAATGGGTCACGATCCAGAGTCTGTAAATTTAATATTTACAAGTAATTGTCATTTTCAAATGTCAAGCTAAATTTTTATTTAACCCTC